GGGGGGGAAGGGGGGGAAGCAGTCCTCAGTTCAAATCCCGACTCTGCCTCCACCAGCGGCAGGTTACCACGCCAGCCCGGGCACCCTCAGCCTAGGGGTCCCGACTTCCTGTGAGGGCTCAGTACGCAGCATACACAAGCGAGCGTTTGGTGCCCAGGGAAGGGCAGCAGCGTCCACCTGCCCTCCATTCCCATGTGAACCTTCCCAGAGCCTCAGAAACTGTCCTCCCGACCCAGCCTGCAATCTGCGGGGGGGTGGGGGGGGTGGGGGGGGGTGGCTCTGCAGCCTCCTCCCTCCCACAGTACCAGAGTGATCATTCCACGGTGGAAACCAGAGTGATCATTCCACAGTGGAAACCCCATTATCGCCCCTCACAACCTCAGCAGAGGGCTTGTTGTTATCTGTTTGCTTTGTGGTACTGGGGATTGAACTCTGGGAGTGCTGAGCTACACCCCCAGACCTTTTTACTTTTTAATTTTGAGACAGGGTCTTGCTAAACTGCCCAGGCCAGCCTTGAACTTTAGGTCCTCCTGCCTTAGCCTCCCATGTAGCTGAGATTACAGGTGTGTGCCACCCTGCCCGGCTCCCTTCAGTAGTGTCCACTTGTCTTTAGGGTAAGTTATAAATCCTGGCCGCAGCCCACACCACCCTCCAAGCTCGGACTTCAGCACCTGCTGCTCTCCACCTGGACTGCTCTTCCCACCCTTCCTCCCTCCTCTGCCTTCTTCCCCTTGCTGACTCCTTTTGTCAGGACTTCCTCTAACATCACCCCCTCCAGGGAGCTTCAGAGTACTCCAGCCTCCAGGTGGATTCAGGTGACACCACCAGGTATTCCCATGGCTCTCACACATCCCCAGGCAGTGCACTGTCAGGCCAGACGGCACCTGCTCTTTAAACTGACCAGGTTCCGGAGACACCCCGTACACACAAAGGGTCAGGGCCTCTTCTTGCTCATCATTATGTTCTGCAACAAGAGCTGTGGCAAGCAGTCAGCTAAAACAGGTTTATAGGATGGATAGATGGAAGGCAGATGGAAGGTGGATGGATGGAAGGTGGGTGGATGGACGGACGAACAGGCAGATGGACAGGTGGATGGATGAGTAGGTGGGTGGATGGATGGATGGATGGGTGGATAGACAAGTAGATGAGTGGATGGGTAGATGGCTGAACAAGTGGATGGAGTGGGTAGATGGATGGGTAGACAGATGGATAGATGGGTGGATGGATGAGTGGGTAGACTGATAGTAGATGGAGGGATGGGTGGATGGACAGTGGGTGGACATATGGGTGGGTGGATGGATGGGTGGATGGAGGGACAGATGGGTGGATGGATGGATGGATGGGTAACTGGGTGGATGGATGAATGGAAGGGTGGATGGACAGTGGGTAGATGGATGGTAGTGGGTGGATGGTAGTGGGTGGATGGATGGGTGGATGGAGGGACAGATGGGTGGATGGATGGATGGATGGGTAACTGGGTGGATGGGTGCATAGAGGAGTGGGTGAATGGATGGGTGGACAGATAGGTGGTTGAATGGATGGATAAGTGGGTAGACTGATGGGTAGACAGATGGAGGGATGGGTGGATGGACAGGTGGATGGATGCATGGGTGGGTAACTGGGTGGAGGGATGGGTGGACAGATAAGTAGATGAGTGGATGGGTAGGTGGATGAATGGATAGGTAGGTGGGTGGATGGAAAGATAGGTAGGTGAGTGAGCAGGTGGACAGATGGAAATACAACACCTCCTCTGTATGGTCTCCACAGGCTTCTCTTGGGCAGGCCACTCTGTCTGTGCTTCCTAACCCCTGGTACAAATTCCTGCTCAAGACTTAGATTCCTCAGCCGTAAAATGAGGAAACTCGCCTCATACCTTTTACTATCAAATAGCATAAGCTTTGTAATAATTTTAAATTCATGATAATAAGTTAAGTTTTAAAAAAATAAGTTAAGTTTAAAGGAGGTAATCCACATATGGTGCTCAGAATGGGACACTGCACTTAGTATTCAAAAATGTTGGCTATAAGTAGCAGTGCAAGGCTGGGGATGTAGCTCAGTGGTAGAGGGCTTGCCTAGCATGCACAAGGCCCTGAGTTCAATCCTCAGTACCACAAAAAGAAAAAAAAATTAGCAGAGCATCTGTATTTTCTACCTGTGTCCCCTGCCAAACAGTGGCTCCGGGGGGCACTGCTGAGGTCTTCCTTTGGACCAAGCACCCCGAGGGTGGGTGAGTGAGCAGCCCCTACAGAGTGCTTTTGTAAATGCAAAGACGTGAACTTTTTTTTCCCAGCTGGGGCGGAGTCAAGGCACAGCCTCACCCCTCTGCACACGCTGGCCTATAATCCACACTCACTCAATTCATTCAGAGAACCTCAAAATGCTACTTGCTTCCTAAACTCAGCCCTGCAGCTGCCCGGACACTGCTGCCCCTTCCTGAGCACAGGCGTCCAGGGCTTGGCCAGCAGCTGAGGAAAAGTCTTCCGGCCGCAAGTCCAGGTTTCCTTCCTGTCTCATCTGCGGCCTCCCGTGAACCCAGAATTGCAGGCCCCTGTCCCCTCTCCTGGTGCCAGGGCAGTACAACCTGCAGGGAACTGCGGGGCTGGGAGGGTGGGGAGAGAATTACATTGACCACTGTTTGCTGTGTGCTTTAGGTCATATCCTCAGCCCAGCACTTCATCCACTCTATGTCCCATTCAACCCTGCCCCCCCCCGCCCCCCCGCTGCTTCTCCAAAGGACTGGGGCACAGGTCAGGCGGGGCTGGCTGCAGGTCTTGGGTTCCAGGGAGGCCTGGGGAGGATTTGGGCGCTAGGCTGAGCTCCACCGTGCACCCAGGTCCACCCTGCTAGGCCCACCCTCGAGGAGGGGCGCAGTGGGCTGGCGGGCGTCCTCTTTGGGGACCTGGGCGGGCTGGGTGCACGGGCCGGGAAATCTGTTAATTAAAGCGTTGGCTCCGGCTCCCCTTCGCAAAGTTTGAAGCCGTTATTTTCCACTCCAGCGAAGCGGGGAGAATCCGGCTGGGCTGACAGAGACGCCACGAGGCGCCGAGGGAGCGGCGGAGAGCGAGAGTGGGGCTCCCGCCTCGGCCCGGGAAAGGAGGGGATCGGGTGTCCGGGGGTCCCCCGAGGCGGCGGCGGAGGGGTGAGGAACCCCTCCCGTGCACGCCGGGTCTCGCACACTGCGGACCCCGCCGCGGGTGTGACTGGGTCCCCAAGTCCCGGCCTCGCTCTGGGAGAGGAGGCGGCAGCGCCCCCAGTCTGCGTCGGGGTGTGAAGCTCAAAGCGCTGCTACGGGCCAGCGCCGCTCCAGGCTCCTTCTCGGGCCCTCCGGGAGACTTGGTGCGGGGGTCCCCTCTCTCCCGACCGCCGCGGGGCGGGCTGCCCGGAGCCCTCTCCGTAAGCACCCAGCGCCCCGTGGACCCGAGGACCGAGGCTTCACGATGGGGGACCTGGGGTGCCGTGGGCGGTGGAAAGGGGGCCCGCCCGGGCGGGCGCTGAAGCCACGTGCGCGCAGCCGGTCTGGACAAGGAACCCGGCGGCCCGTGTGGGGAGCGGGGGTGGGGGGGGACCTCGGGGCGACCCAGCCTGGGACCCCGCAGAGCTCCCTCCCGTCCTCCCCGCCACCGTCCTTCGCCCCGCATCCTGGGCGCTGCCTCGCTTCTGCCCGCTTCGAGCCGTGGTCCCCCGCCCTCCCAGACCCGCCCGCGGGTCAGAACCCCATTCCTGCCTCCCAGCCTCGCCGTGGTCTTCTCAGCCTACCTTTCCCCGCCCGGCAGACGCCCCCGCGCAGAGGTACGCCCCGCCCACTCCCCTTCCACCGCCCAATCAGGCGCGAGCCCCGCCCGCAGCCCCACCTCTCGCGCCTCCGACAGCACGGGCCGGGGCGGAGCTGGCTGCGGGGCGGGTCTTTCGCGGAGGCGGGGCTCCG